TAGTTAGCGTACGTACGGGTACGGACGTACGAACTAGTAGAAGAACGAACTAACGTAACGTAAGTTACGTACGTACTACGTACGACTATATAGATACTCTCTCTCTCTCTCTCTCTCTCTCTCTAGCACTATCATCCATCTCTCTCTGTCCCACCACCCTTGTTGTGAAGTGTCCAAAGTCATTTATATCAGATTCTCTCTCTCTCTCTCTAGGACTCTCTCTCTCTCTAAGACTCTCTCTCTCTACATTGGCATGTAAGGGAAGGCAGAAGGCAAAGGGCTTAGAACCATAGTCTCTCACTTCCCATCCACATGAGCATTTAAGGGAAAACAATCAAGACTAAGAATCATTTGACTTTCATATGTATCCAATTGGGGGTACTATAGTAATATCTCAATATTTGGAAAAGGAGCCGGTTTCTATGCGGCCAAGCCTGTACATGTAGAAATTTCGGTCTCTTAATAAATATATTTTTTAAATGGATTTTAAGGCATAATTTTTAAGGACATATAATCTCTAACATGGAGATCATGGATATGGAAAATAAATAAATTTTAAAAACTAAAAATAATAATTCTAGTAAGACTACATTTGGACCGTTAGTTTCTATTGTTCTTAAATGGATCATTTATTTGCATTCATCTTTAAAATGGATGCTTTACACTTTTTGGATTGTATATGTATGAATGTTGTTCAGCCCGCATGAAACAATTTTGCTTTGAAAAACAATCTAGAACAAAAATGAAGTGAAATAGAAATATATATTGGGGAAATTTCATTCAAATCCTGAAATATTTTATCAAATGCTCTTGGTTTAGATTGATTTTACATTTAAGTTTTTTAAAAAATTAGGAAAGGGTTCAAGGCTATATGGTTAGGGCGGCAAGATTTTCCAGCATAACTTTTTGAGTTTCATTTCTACTACAGGTAGAAAACACTTTTCCCACTAAATTACCCAAAATAATATAGTTCTTCAAAAATTTTCCAAATCACCCAATTCGGGGTTAGGGACCTTGAACAAACCCATGGTCATTTTGGCAATTTGGCCACGCTTCAATCATAGAAGGGTAGTGTCCTACTTTTTTAGGGCTGAGATAAATGTCATTTAGAAGTTCCATGTTATTAACCAGAAGGAATGGGGTTGAGGTCGTGGTGACAACACTATCGAACGTCAGCTACCGGTTTATATTTTCATTCTCACCAACGCATTCGAAAACCAACTATTTCCAAAACAGGTAAGTATTCCCCATTGATCTACCCAAAAAAAACCACCCCCATTGATCTACCCCAAAAACAAAAACCGCAATAACTCAGGATATCATTTGGCTGGAGCCACCTGATTGTGGCCAATCTACCTAAATTCCCCAACCCGAAATAAGTTCAATTTAAAAATTTTAATATTTTCTTTGAAGATGTACCTCTTCTATGTGCTCCTTATTATGAATCATTCGACCACCATAATGATTTTGTAACTTGAATTGAGGATTAAGTTTTGTTAAAAATAAAACATAAGAGGATATAAGTGATATTTTCCACTAATATTTGTAAGGGAAAATTTACAATGAGTCTATTTACCTTTGATACAAGCTGGTTACAATTAATCTTGACCGTCGAATGTTAAATTTAATGGTTGTGGATACTCAATTGACCAAACTCAAAGTTAAAAAAAATATTTTCGAACTTTATGATACACCCAAGATATCAAAGTTCACATCAGATGGTTATAAATAATTGTGACGTCCTTATATCAAAAGTAAATGATGTCATTACATACAATCCCTATTTTTAATTGTCACGGTACTCATAATATATCAAATAGGATCCCTATTTTTAATTGTCACGTTACTCATAATATATCAATTAGGAAGACAAAGGTACAGCAGAAACATCAAAACTAATACTTAAGAGCATGCAGCGAGCAGTACTTGCTCACTTTATGTAGCTTAGGAGGACCTTCTGTCTTCTATATTTTAATCCGCTTTAGAATGATCAGATTAATATTTTCACTAAAAAAATCATAATCACTTAAGATTTTAGTATCTAAATATTTGATAGTCTCTATTCAATCCCAGGACATTATTTTTCCTTCCAAGCACATCAATAGAGCGTTTTTTTTTTGGTTGGTTTCTAAGTTGAGGAGGTTCCATCAATTTAGTACCGATTATTCCTCAAGGGAGTAGATTTATTTTTCTTTTTTTTGCCGTTACAGTTGGAAAAGCATACAAAGAGATAATTTTTTTGTACAAGAATTTCGCAATCTTTTTTATCCATTATATTTCAAATTGGGTGCTGTAAGAGAGTAATTGATTAGACATAAAGTTCAAAAAAAATAAGAAAAATAAAAAATAAATTCTCGAACTTTGTGACAACCCAATCCAATTTGACATCTAATGGCTAAAAATTATTGTGACCTTTTGTAACAAAAATAATTGTCTCGTAATATACAATCCTATCACAATAAACAAAAAAGAATAGATGTCTCTTGGGTTTTTTTTTTTTGCTATCACATAAACACACGAGTTAAATATCCTAGTCTAAGGAAAATAATGGGTGGGCACGTATTCAGCTGATAAACTGCAAATGAGAAAACCTAGTATAGAGAGAGAGAGGCTTTAAAGAGTAGCCAGAATAGATACATAAACACAACAAAGATGATTTTGCTTTTGCTTAACTAACGGAATTGTATACAATGAGACCTTTCTTTTATCTTTATTACAAGGAGAGCTCATTATATATAAGAAATTTCTTTTTTGAAGTCTTTTCATTGTCGCTCTTACAACCAACCAATTTAATGCCCAATGAACAAAAGTGATTGTAACCTCTTTGTATAAAAAATAAATAGTCTCTTTGTATACCTTTCCCTAACTATATATATAATTCTCACGAACACACAAACTGGTTCGAGTTTAGTTTTAAGCATCACAATCAGACAAACACACACACACACAAAGAGAGAGAGAGAGAGAGAGTTCTATTTTTTTTTTTGGAATTCTTTTTTCTTTTTTTTTTTGGAAGATTATCATTTCTTTCCCTTGTAGAGAGAGTTTTGATTTTGCAAGAGAATACCATCTTTCTTTTTAACTTCCCTTTCATAAAATTCTTGCTTCTTGTTTTTTTTTTTGGAAGAGAATCATTTCTTTCCCTTATAGAGAGTTTTGACTTTGCAAGGGAATCCCATCTTTCTTTTTAACTCCCTTTCATAAACCTCTTGTTTTTTTGTTTTTTTTTTTGGAAGAGAATCATTTCTTTCCCTTATAGAGAGAGTTTTGATTTTGCAAGAGAATCCCATCTTTCTTTTTAACTCCCCTTTCATAAACCTCTTGTTTTTTTGTTTTGTTTTTGGAAGAGAATCATTTTCTTTCCCTTATAGAGAGAGTTTTGATTTTGCATGAGAATCCCAATCTTTCTTTTTAATTCCCCTTTCATAAACCTCTTGTTTTTTTTTTGGAAGAGAATCATTTCTTTCCCTTATAGACTTAGAGAGAGTTTTGATTTTGCAAGAGAATCCCATCTTTCTTTTTAACTCCCCTTTCATAAACCTCTTGTAAACAACAGACCTAAAGTATACATACAATAATGCACGATGCTTGGCTTATGCGGGTGCATCTCATATGTAACATACTATATAGTCCATTGACCCTCATGGAGGTTGGGGAATCTCACAATTAATTAAAAATAAATAAATCTCTGTGGAGTAACTATAAAAATACGAGTTCAATAATAAAAAAAAGGAAACTGAGAAACATAGCATGTGGAGACCGTCAATTATTTTGATAATGGAATACGAGCGGTTCGATCATGCCGGATTTAGCAGTGAGAATACCAAAATATAAGATGTAAACATGCATAATATTATACAATAAGCAATGGATCTTTACCGGTTGCCCTGAGGCAGCATTGGAAGGGAATCTAACAAAATTATTAAAATTAAAACTTTTCGCTTTTTTAAAAAAAATTATCGCAAGCCTTCTTTAATTTTGGAAGAAAAAACCCAACTTTCATAAACCTCGTCCACACCTTTTTTCTTTAAGTTTGAACATTTTGTGACTAAAATAACCTTCATGGTAGTCGTATTACTCTAAAAAACAATTATAGTACTTAAAATACCGTAATATTTAGCTCATTTTATATGGTACTTAAAATACCGTGAGAAAACCTTTCGGTATTGTAGTACTCAAATTGCAGTAATACTAATTAGACACTACCCAAAACCCTTGCTTCATTTACGGTTTCCTTGTCTCCCTTACGGTAGTTCAAGTACTGTAATTGGAAATGTTACGATGTAAAAATATCGTATAAAACGCGTTAAACATTACGACAGTTAAAGTACCATATAAAATACAAACATTACAGTACTTAAAGTACTGTATAAAATGCACTAAACATCACGATACTTAAAAGTACTGTATAAAATGCACAAAAATACCGTAACGTTCTTCACGGCAATACAACTACCGTGAAAGTTATTTTGATAAAAAAAAACAAAATGAAAAAAAATTATGTAAATGAGGTTTACGAAAGTTGAGGATTTTTTTCCAATTAATATATATTTCTGATAATTTCCCTCTATTTTTTAGTACATTCCATA